GAAATGCATCGCCTAAACCAAAGAGACTTCACTTAGAAGAAGATGACTGTGATGGTCTTTTTCACTGCCCAGTTCAGATTTGTAACCACGATGGATTCACTACGCAAAGAGGCTGTAGAAAACACGTAAAGAACAAACACAGTTGGTACTATTACTTTGACGAGAAGCCAAACAGTGCTCAAATGGAATCGTTTCACAATCGATCCGAGAAAATTGAAACCAACGATCGGACGACTCCACGTACAACGAGATCAATTGCCTCATTCGACTTGAAAAACAACATTGCTAAGAGTTTTTTCTCATGGCTAACTGGCAGCGGTGGGGGTTGTAAAAGCGATCGACAAGCACAGCAAATTGTCAGTAGGTGTTTAAAGTTTCTCAAATTCTGTTGCAAAGACGAAGAGGAACTCACATTTGGCATTGTTGATTTTAGCCTATGAATCTCCTATTTAAATTCGTAGATACGATGCAGGATGAATGGAAACTGGGACACGCGGGACGCATAGGTTACTTAGACGCCATTGCAGAATTAGCGGATTTCAGAAAAGTAAATGGCGCATCAGAAACAGAATGGAGAAGGCTGTCCACAGCAGAAATGTACTTAAAAAGGGCGCGAAAAACCGTTTCAAAGATGATGAGGTTGCAATGGACCAGCGAACTCGATATTGACGCTTTAGAAGCCAAGGGGCACTGGGCCACCATGGAAGAGCTTTTAGAGGTGGTGGGGCGTTACTTGCCGCGCTATGAGAGCGTGCTTAAAGCATGCAGGGATAAACCAGATACTGTTTCGCCACTGGAATTATCGTTTGCTACCAAATTTCTGGCCGTCTATTTGTTTATCAAGGTTAAAGGCTCACGCCCGATGACATACCAATATCTAACCGTAGAAATGGTCGACAAAGCTAAGACTAACGGCGGATTCATAGACCAAAAACAATTCAAGACGGCTGGAAAGTATGGTTTTGATTCCCTTTTCCTGACAGACACTAGTATGCAAGTCCTGGAAGGCTACATCAACCACATTCGCCCACTTCTCAAGCCTAATTGTGATTATGTTTTAGCCACGAGAAATGGTCGACAACATAACAAGCTAGGAGAAGCAATGAGTAAATTGGTGTTCGATGCAACAGGCAAGTATGTCACCCAACTCGTTACTGCCAAATAGTGGAGACGGCAAGCTCTAGAACTCTCAGCAGCAGAGTGCAGGATGCGATCTCCGAGGACCAGAAACACAGCTCTGTTGTGGCAAGAGTTCACTATCAAAAACGGCGATCTCGCAAAGTCGCCAGCAAAGCACATACATTTTTGGAAAGACTACAGGGCGAGAGGGGATCAGAGCTAGAGATGGACGTACGCTCTAGGCTGTCTGAGAATTCAAGTTCTTCACAAGAACAAGATGTTGGCAAAACCGATACGTCTTCTAATGACGAAGAAGACGTAATCACAGATACAACACGCGAGCCTTTAGTAGGAGTGCCAAAATTGAGGGGCGAAAATGCGTTCAGAGTGACCGAAACAAGCACGCGATGGAAGAGTTTAATGTTCACCCCCGAGGAAGACAAATTTCTCAAAGCTGGACTTAAACGGTACGGATTTGGGCAATGGAAAGCGATTCTAACAGACCCCGACTTTCAGTTCCAAAAGGGAAGAACGGCTAACTCTCTTCTGAGCCGAGCCGCTCGAAGATTTGGATCATATTCAACATCGATGCAGCGTTAACAAGGTCCTACTTAACGAACGAACTCAAGGGCATGTAGCTTTCTTAAATTCTTGAACTCAAATAAATGAATTATTGCAAATTTTAGCCCTACATAAAATGCGAGAAACAACTATAGAAAGAAGAGATAATGTAGGCTAAATCCATAACGTCAATATCATTTATTTAATGACTGAATTCCTCAGCATGACCATGCCATCATGGGGCTTCGTAGACAACATGCAAAAATAACGTGGTATTTGAAACTGACAACAAAGCATTAATAATACAAGTGTTCTGTGGCGTAAAGGCCTTCAAATTAGTTAACTTAGTATATCTTAAATTGCATGTACGGGCACCTAAGTTGATCCTACTTTTTTACATGTTTCTGCGAACTGAAAAAGCTAGTCACCCGCTTCTGTCCCTCGGTTGTTTGGCTTCTCGAGAGTCTAGCTCACTTTGAAGGTCTGTTGTCAGGTGAGGGTACTCGCCTTAGTAATGGTGAAGAGCCTGTGCAAATGCTTTCATCAAATGAGGGTTCGTAACAAGGTGTCTTCAGTGTAATGAACATGTCCTCGCTCTCCGATTCCACGGCCTCCTGGCTCGTAGGTGGAGTAAACATCGTCTGGTGCGTGTCCTCAGGCGTATTACCATCGTCGTTTAAAGGCGTTGGTCTGGACATGTTTTGGTTGCTACCTTCGACGATAACCGGTAAAGGTGAGTACACATCTCTAACGGAACTCGCGTACCTAGGATCTACTAATCCACGTTTCACACAGATTTCCTTCCTCTTTTCCACAGCCATCTGCAGGCGAAGGGTGCCTTGTTTTTCGTGAAATACGTGGAGTTTCTCATAGTCAATCTCCAAAAGACTCGTCAGCGTTGCACTCATGTCGGGGTCTGTGCCTCTCTCTAAACGCATATTGTTCTCGGCCATTTCTTTTTCTATTTCTAACAGCCACGGATTAGAGAATGCTTTTTTTACTTTCTCCTGCTCATCTCTTTCCCTTTGCTTTTCGAGACGTTCTGCCCTATCATTCAAGGCCTGTTGTTCTCTGCGAGCGAGGTCGGTTGGTAGTGGCTCGTCGGGATGCGTAATCAGTCGATCTGCCTGCGATTTGCTGGTCACTCCTAAATTTACTAGATATCGTTGACGTCCGGCGATTTGACGTTCTTGGATGGCTTTGTGCTGTGTTTGAGCGTTTCTCAGGAGCATGCTCAGCTGTCTGTGCCAAAACCCACCCGGCACCGCCTTTTCGAACTCATGGCGAAGCTTGTCTATGTGGTTGTTATCTTCATTTTCATCGGAACTGTCGCTTTCGGCTTCACTCTCCTCTTCATCCGTGAGTGAGATTTCACCGGCTTCCGTGTTGCACTCGGGGGTGTGGTCGTCCAGTAGGGAAACGGACAAAATTCTCTGAATGTGCTCACTTTCTAAACCATCCTCACGCTCTCCTAAGGTCCTTCCAGTCTGTGCGGTAGTGGAGTTTGTAGCAACCATCTTTTGGGCCCATACGATGCAGTCCATTGCATGTTCTCACAGCCACTGGTTGGCCTCCGGGTTAACTTGCGGCAAGCTTCTGAAGAAGTACTTGTGAAGTCTTCGGTTCATCGCGTCATTGTGGGCCTCGCCAAAGTCCATCTCCTGTTGACATGTAATGTACATACTTGCACGGCAGTGGAACCCCTGGGCCTTCTTCCATTTTACATCGTGGGATGTAAAACCGCCTTGACAAATTATCTTCCAGTCATCGATGTCGAGCAGGTTGTTGTATGCCTCGTCGAGAAAGATAACTTCCATGGAGCTGTCAATCATCGACTTGTTAAAGCTCTTCTGTTTGGTCACGCGAGCGATTCGGCTTAACGGCACAATTTGAAACACTGGGCTGAACAGGTTCGTTTTGCCGCTGTCAGAAGCTCCTATGGCACATGGCACAGGTCGCTTGTGTTCTTTATCTCTGAATAGCGCGAGGAAATCAGCGCAAAACTGTTCTATTTGCCCTTCAGGTAGGCTATTGGTTAGAATTTGCTCGAAGTATTTAGGATCGGGCTCTTGGAGGCTGTCATAATGGATATACGCTCTTGGTGATGTGATACCTCGCTGTAGAAAAGAGAAAAAAAAAGGAACTGTTAAAACATACAAACATGTAATAAATAGGTAAAAGAAGAAGTAGAACCTTTACCCACCAACCAACTAGGAGTAGTCCTAGATTAGGTGACTCGAAACTGAATAGCGCTTGATTTGACATATCCCAAGGTTAATTATGTTGTATAGTAATAGAAAAACGACTTTTCTATTGAACAGATACATTGTCATTTTAGCCAGCAGATAAATTGTAGCCAAGGAAATTGTGATAATGGAATTAAAACAACCTTTACTGATGAAAACGTATGCTCTCACCTCTGATTCTGGGATCACTCCTTGTACAAAAGCTCCTTCAGAGAAAGACTAAAACCAACCATTCTGCACTTCAACCAAGTTTCGATCTATGTTAAGGTGGCCAATCAGGGAACTTTCTGGCTCATTCAGAAGTGGTAGCACTCGTTGAAAATGTTGGACAAGCCTGTCTTTGAAGCACTCGTTCCCCATAAGATTTAACAGAAATGACTTCATGGAGCAAAGGAACTTGAAAGTAAACTGTGATTCTGTCACTTTCTTGTACACATCTCCCCGGTAGACACTAAACTGAAGCTTTTTCATTGCGGCATGGATGTCGTTACAAAGAACTGTTAGTGGGCAAGACAATGGCTAGGAACGCCTTGTTCCCTTTCGGTTCAAATTGTTCCTATTCATGCCCAACAGGAACGGAATTGTTCCTAATCGAGGTGGTTTTTTGTTCCTCAAGATGAGTGTTATGTTCCGCGTATAAATGGGAACAGGTTCAGAATTTGTGACAAAGGAACTAGCGTTCCATTTTGCGCAAAGTGTAAAAAGGAATAGGGAACAATAGTTCCTATTTATCGTAGGCTATCTGAAACTACTGTCCATCACCTCCGCTATACAAATTTATCAAAACATATAACCTTCAACTATCAAGTTAAGTGGGAGACTTGCCCGCTACATGTTCAATCGCATTCGGGCTTGCCCGCGCAAGTTCAGGCTTATGTCTTTGTTCCTTTTGATTAATTGTGTACCAAATACGGATAAGAAAACAATGGGGCAAGGGGTAAGAATGATCAAGTGTGGGCAGAGATGGGCTAATAGAGATCTCTGATTGGCGAATAGGATGATCTCTTGGGGACCCTTTTGCTAGTCTAAGTGCGTGCATACTTTGGAAAGATATCGATTTCAAGCTAATGCTTAAGATGAACAAACAAGGCAAGGATGTCAACTGGTCAAAGTTAGGAAATGCATCGCCTAAACCAAAGAGACTTCACTTAGAAGAAGATGACTGTGATGGTCTTTTTCACTGCCCAGTTCAGATTTGTAACCACGATGGATTCACTACGCAAAGAGGCTGTAGAAAACACGTAAAGAACAAACACAGTTGGTACTATTACTTTGACGAGAAGCCAAACAGTGCTCAAATGGAATCGTTTCACAATCGATCCGAGAAAATTGAAACCAACGATCGGACGACTCCACGTACAACGAGATCAATTGCCTCATTCGACTTGAAAAACAACATTGCTAAGAGTTTTTTCTCATGGCTAACTGGCAGCGGTGGGGGTTGTAAAAGCGATCGACAAGCACAGCAAATTGTCAGTAGGTGTTTAAAGTTTCTCAAATTCTGTTGCAAAGACGAAGAGGAACTCACATTTGGCATTGTTGATTTTAGCCTATGAATCTCCTATTTAAATTCGTAGATACGATGCAGGATGAATGGAAACTGGGACACGCGGGACGCATAGGTTACTTAGACGCCATTGCAGAATTAGCGGATTTCAGAAAAGTAAATGGCGCATCAGAAACAGAATGGAGAAGGCTGTCCACAGCAGAAATGTACTTAAAAAGGGCGCGAAAAACCGTTTCAAAGATGATGAGGTTGCAATGGACCAGCGAACTCGATATTGACGCTTTAGAAGCCAAGGGGCACTGGGCCACCATGGAAGAGCTTTTAGAGGTGGTGGGGCGTTACTTGCCGCGCTATGAGAGCGTGCTTAAAGCATGCAGGGATAAACCAGATACTGTTTCGCCACTGGAATTATCGTTTGCTACCAAATTTCTGGCCGTCTATTTGTTTATCAAGGTTAAAGGCTCACGCCCGATGACATACCAATATCTAACCGTAGAAATGGTCGACAAAGCTAAGACTAACGGCGGATTCATAGACCAAAAACAATTCAAGACGGCTGGAAAGTATGGTTTTGATTCCCTTTTCCTGACAGACACTAGTATGCAAGTCCTGGAAGGCTACATCAACCACATTCGCCCACTTCTCAAGCCTAATTGTGATTATGTTTTAGCCACGAGAAATGGTCGACAACATAACAAGCTAGGAGAAGCAATGAGTAAATTGGTGTTCGATGCAACAGGCAAGTATGTCACCCAACTCGTTACTGCCAAATAGTGGAGACGGCAAGCTCTAGAACTCTCAGCAGCAGAGTGCAGGATGCGATCTCCGAGGACCAGAAACACAGCTCTGTTGTGGCAAGAGTTCACTATCAAAAACGGCGATCTCGCAAAGTCGCCAGCAAAGCACATACATTTTTGGAAAGACTACAGGGCGAGAGGGGATCAGAGCTAGAGATGGACGTACGCTCTAGGCTGTCTGAGAATTCAAGTTCTTCACAAGAACAAGATGTTGGCAAAACCGATACGTCTTCTAATGACGAAGAAGACGTAATCACAGATACAACACGCGAGCCTTTAGTAGGAGTGCCAAAATTGAGGGGCGAAAATGCGTTCAGAGTGACCGAAACAAGCACGCGATGGAAGAGTTTAATGTTCACCCCCGAGGAAGACAAATTTCTCAAAGCTGGACTTAAACGGTACGGATTTGGGCAATGGAAAGCGATTCTAACAGACCCCGACTTTCAGTTCCAAAAGGGAAGAACGGCTAACTCTCTTCTGAGCCGAGCCGCTCGAAGATTTGGATCATATTCAACATCGATGCAGCGTTAACAAGGTCCTACTTAACGAACGAACTCAAGGGCATGTAGCTTTCTTAAATTCTTGAACTCAAATAAATGAATTATTGCAAATTTTAGCCCTACATAAAATGCGAGAAACAACTATAGAAAGAAGAGATAATGTAGGCTAAATCCATAACGTCAATATCATTTATTTAATGACTGAATTCCTCAGCATGACCATGCCATCATGGGGCTTCGTAGACAACATGCAAAAATAACGTGGTATTTGAAACTGACAACAAAGCATTAATAATACAAGTGTTCTGTGGCGTAAAGGCCTTCAAATTAGTTAACTTAGTATATCTTAAATTGCATGTACGGGNTATGCAAGTCCTGGAAGGCTACATCAACCACATTCGCCCACTTCTCAAGCCTAATTGTGATTATGTTTTAGCCACGAGAAATGGTCGACAACATAACAAGCTAGGAGAAGCAATGAGTAAATTGGTGTTCGATGCAACAGGCAAGTATGTCACCCAACTCGTTACTGCCAAATAGTGGAGACGGCAAGCTCTAGAACTCTCAGCAGCAGAGTGCAGGATGCGATCTCCGAGGACCAGAAACACAGCTCTGTTGTGGCAAGAGTTCACTATCAAAAACGGCGATCTCGCAAAGTCGCCAGCAAAGCACATACATTTTTGGAAAGACTACAGGGCGAGAGGGGATCAGAGCTAGAGATGGACGTACGCTCTAGGCTGTCTGAGAATTCAAGTTCTTCACAAGAACAAGATGTTGGCAAAACCGATACGTCTTCTAATGACGAAGAAGACGTAATCACAGATACAACACGCGAGCCTTTAGTAGGAGTGCCAAAATTGAGGGGCGAAAATGCGTTCAGAGTGACCGAAACAAGCACGCGATGGAAGAGTTTAATGTTCACCCCCGAGGAAGACAAATTTCTCAAAGCTGGACTTAAACGGTACGGATTTGGGCAATGGAAAGCGATTCTAACAGACCCCGACTTTCAGTTCCAAAAGGGAAGAACGGCTAACTCTCTTCTGAGCCGAGCCGCTCGAAGATTTGGATCATATTCAACATCGATGCAGCGTTAACAAGGTCCTACTTAACGAACGAACTCAAGGGCATGTAGCTTTCTTAAATTCTTGAACTCAAATAAATGAATTATTGCAAATTTTAGCCCTACATAAAATGCGAGAAACAACTATAGAAAGAAGAGATAATGTAGGCTAAATCCATAACGTCAATATCATTTATTTAATGACTGAATTCCTCAGCATGACCATGCCATCATGGGGCTTCGTAGACAACATGCAAAAATAACGTGGTATTTGAAACTGACAACAAAGCATTAATAATACAAGTGTTCTGTGGCGTAAAGGCCTTCAAATTAGTTAACTTAGTATATCTTAAATTGCATGTACGGGCACCTAAGTTGATCCTACTTTTTTACATGTTTCTGCGAACTGAAAAAGCTAGTCACCCGCTTCTGTCCCTCGGTTGTTTGGCTTCTCGAGAGTCTAGCTCACTTTGAAGGTCTGTTGTCAGGTGAGGGTACTCGCCTTAGTAATGGTGAAGAGCCTGTGCAAATGCTTTCATCAAATGAGGGTTCGTAACAAGGTGTCTTCAGTGTAATGAACATGTCCTCGCTCTCCGATTCCACGGCCTCCTGGCTCGTAGGTGGAGTAAACATCGTCTGGTGCGTGTCCTCAGGCGTATTACCATCGTCGTTTAAAGGCGTTGGTCTGGACATGTTTTGGTTGCTACCTTCGACGATAACCGGTAAAGGTGAGTACACATCTCTAACGGAACTCGCGTACCTAGGATCTACTAATCCACGTTTCACACAGATTTCCTTCCTCTTTTCCACAGCCATCTGCAGGCGAAGGGTGCCTTGTTTTTCGTGAAATACGTGGAGTTTCTCATAGTCAATCTCCAAAAGACTCGTCAGCGTTGCACTCATGTCGGGGTCTGTGCCTCTCTCTAAACGCATATTGTTCTCGGCCATTTCTTTTTCTATTTCTAACAGCCACGGATTAGAGAATGCTTTTTTTACTTTCTCCTGCTCATCTCTTTCCCTTTGCTTTTCGAGACGTTCTGCCCTATCATTCAAGGCCTGTTGTTCTCTGCGAGCGAGGTCGGTTGGTAGTGGCTCGTCGGGATGCGTAATCAGTCGATCTGCCTGCGATTTGCTGGTCACTCCTAAATTTACTAGATATCGTTGACGTCCGGCGATTTGACGTTCTTGGATGGCTTTGTGCTGTGTTTGAGCGTTTCTCAGGAGCATGCTCAGCTGTCTGTGCCAAAACCCACCCGGCACCGCCTTTTCGAACTCATGGCGAAGCTTGTCTATGTGGTTGTTATCTTCATTTTCATCGGAACTGTCGCTTTCGGCTTCACTCTCCTCTTCATCCGTGAGTGAGATTTCACCGGCTTCCGTGTTGCACTCGGGGGTGTGGTCGTCCAGTAGGGAAACGGACAAAATTCTCTGAATGTGCTCACTTTCTAAACCATCCTCACGCTCTCCTAAGGTCCTTCCAGTCTGTGCGGTAGTGGAGTTTGTAGCAACCATCTTTTGGGCCCATACGATGCAGTCCATTGCATGTTCTCACAGCCACTGGTTGGCCTCCGGGTTAACTTGCGGCAAGCTTCTGAAGAAGTACTTGTGAAGTCTTCGGTTCATCGCGTCATTGTGGGCCTCGCCAAAGTCCATCTCCTGTTGACATGTAATGTACATACTTGCACGGCAGTGGAACCCCTGGGCCTTCTTCCATTTTACATCGTGGGATGTAAAACCGCCTTGACAAATTATCTTCCAGTCATCGATGTCGAGCAGGTTGTTGTATGCCTCGTCGAGAAAGATAACTTCCGTGGAGCTGTCAATCATCGACTTGTTAAAGCTCTTCTGTTTGGTCACGCGAGCAATTCGGCTTAACGGCACAATTTGAAACACTGGGCTGAACAGGCTCGTTTTGCCGCTGTCAGAAGCTCCGATGGCACATGGCACAGGTCGCTTATGTTCTTTATCTCTGAATAGCGCGAGGAAATCAGCGCAAAACTGTTGTATTTGCCCTTCAGGTAGGCTATTGGTTAGAATTTGCTCGAAGTATTTAGGATCGGGCTCTTGGAGGCTGTCATAGTGGACATACGCTCTTGGTGATGTGATACCTCGCTGTAGAAAACAGAAAAAAAAAGAACTGTTAAAACATACAAACATGTAATAAATAGGTAAAACAAGTAGAAACCTTTACCCGCCAACCAACTTGGAGTAGTCCTAGATTAGGTAACTCGAAACTGAATAGCACTTGATTTGACATATTCCAAGGTTAATTATGTTGTATAGTAATAGAAAAACGACTTTTCTATTGAACAGATACATTGTCATTTTAGCCAGCAGATAAATTGTAGCCAAGGAAATTGTGATAACGGAATTAAAACAACCTTTACTGATGAAAACGTATGCTCTCACCTCTGATTCTGGGATCACTCCTTGTACAAAAGCTCCTTCAGAGAAAGACCAAAACCAGCCATTCTGCACTTCAACCAAGTTTCGATCTATGTTAAGTTGGCCAATCAGGGAACTTTCTGGCTCACTCAGAAGTGGTAGAACTCGTTGAAAATGTTGGACAAGCCTGTCTTTGAAGCACTCGTTCCCCATAAGATTTAACAGAAATGACTTCATGGAGCAAAGGAACTTGAAAGTAAACTGTGATTCTGCAACTTTCTTGTACACATCTCCCCGGTAGACACTAAACTGAAGCTTTTTCATTGCGGCATGGATGTCGTTACAAAGAACTGTTAGTGGGCAAGACAATGGCTTATGTGGTGTACACGGTATTTCTACGCCCGGGGTGCTGCTTTCGTTTTCATGGAGACCAAAACAATCGATTTTCAAACCAGCGCGGCGCAATTCTCGGATAGATGTAGTCATCATCGGTTTGAATTCTTCCCTAAGCACTCGCACACGAACCACATTTTCTGTCGACAACATTTCTTGAGACTGTTCTTCATCACTAATATCTATTTCGTCTTGAAGGGCGCTGTCAATAAAGAATAAAAAACAGACAAGTTTACTATCTCAGAATAAATTTTTGAGTAGTGCATCAAAGTTTGAATTAACGCTCTTTTTCGTGTTGAAATTCCCAGATGGTCTAAATCGCACTTAATTAGCCACTTGCACCCTTGGATATTGTTAGTTATTTGAGTCAAGACAGTTAATTAGAGATATTGCTTGACAAGGAGAAGATGGCAACAATAAGGGTGGACTTCTAGGTGTTGATTTCTTTGGTCAACTATAGCCTTTACTATAACAGTTTTGCATTGAGTATACTAACCTGAGACAATGCTGATAAGAAGCCTCCACAAAATTCATCAGGCAAGGATTCTTGTGATCTTTTAAAACTTGGCAGAGTTGGTTTAAGTCGTGAGAATGAGCACGTTGAATTTTCATGGGATTAACGGCTGAACCATTTTGAGTTTGGCAAGCCACCCAATACGAAATTGCTGGGAAAACTTGCTTTCCAGGCGTTGAAATTTGAGAGGGGTTTATGGCAGATTCTTCGTTAGACTCGTCGATTTCTCGTCCTTCATCTGATGTTGTTGATTTTTTCTTTTTGCTGTCAAGCTTTGAGGTGCTTATTGCCGAAAAGAAAAAGCAAACCTCGCTCAGTTTCGACAATTCCAAATCACATTCATCTCGCTTTTCGCAGATCCAATTCCAGGCTTGTTGAATTTCTTCATCGCTTACTCTCCAAACACACTTAAATGCCACAACAGAACACGTTTTCTCAATTGCTGCTACTATGTGACACTCCACTTTATCTCTTATAACTTTGCTGTTTAGCTGCGAACAGGGCTTGCTCATCTTGACTAGCCAACAATGTCGAGTAAAAGCGATTTTTCAAGGCCTCTTGGCCATGTTATATCTAGCACAATACTTAGGGGAATAGAACAAGTCTGTGCCATTGGCTGGATTAGCTGACTGAAAGTGCGAGCATAAATTAACCTCAGTCTGACTAAATTATTCAGTCCAAATACGCCTTACTCGCGATAACCGGTATTCCCTTCACACACAAAAAACATTAGCAAACTACCTGTGGAACTAAATCTTAACGGTACTTGTTAAAATTATTCTTGCTTTTGGTGCCTAAAAAAGATAAGCGTAAACCAAGGGTATGATCTGAAGACAAAAAACAAGGATCTTGAAATCAGTATCAGATGTTAAAGTGTACAGCGATTTAAGCGTAAACTACGGATATGGTCTGAATATTAATATCAATGATCTTGAAATTGCTTTTTATATTAAAGTGCTTAGCGAGTTAAGCGTAAACTACGGGTTTGGTCTGAATTAAATTAACAACAAAAACAAGAATAATATAAAATAATAATAAATAATAATAATAATTATTATTATTATAATTTATTTTATTATTATTATTATTATTTTATTTATAATTATTAATTTTAGATTTTCATTTTCCTTTTTTTTTAAATTAAGTTAATTAATTCAGTCCATCCCCGTATATCACGCTTATCTCGTTGTACACTTTGACATCAAAAAGCAATTTCAGGATCCTTGTTGATAGTATTCAGACCATACCCGCAGTTTACGGTTAAATCACTGTACCCCTCAACATCAGATACTGATTTCAAGATGCATGCTATTAGTATTCAGGCCATATCCGTTGTTTACGCTTATATCGCTTTTCACTGTAACATCAGTAAGCAATTTCTTGACCTATCTCTTTAGTATTCAGGCTATTCCCGTGTTTTTCGCTTATTCTGCAATAAACTCTGGGATCGAAGAAGTCTTCAGTAACCCATGCTTCTCACTTTTCCGATGCAAACAATGCAACAAATAGAAGTATTAGTCTAGCAGCAGTAGTAGTAGTAGTAGTAGTAGTAGTAGTAGTTGTTGTTGTTGTTGTTGTTGTTGCCGTTGTTGTTACTCTTAATTTGTCGCAAAATCATTGGAAAAATGAGAGAAATTGGTAGTGTGGGAATTTCTCTTGATAGACCAAGTGAATAGCGTGTTTAGCGTGACCAGCGTGTTTGCTTTTCCTAGGCTTCTTTTACTTTAAGGAGGGAAAGAGAAAAGGGAACTAACATTTTTGGGAATGATCAACATCATCGTCATATTTATCAGCATTATCATCATTATCATCATCTTCGTCATCATCATCATCATCATTATCACCATCATTATTATTATCATCACCATCTTCATCAGTAGTATATGCAATCGAGCTAAGAGGTTAACATACCCTTTGTCTGTTCCGATTCTTCGTTTTTGTTCCTCTCTTTCTCCTCTTTGAATTTTCTTTTACATTTCTTTGCTCTTGCTTTTTCTTTTTTCAATTTTTCCTCCATTTCCTTTTTGATGTCTTTTTTTATCGCTAGTCTGGCTGCAAAAAGGTTTACATGATTATCAATGGACGAATGCGATACATTGTATCGAGAGAAACGTTAATAAACAAAAAGTGGTATATATAGTATTTAAAACCACTGACAATAAGGGCAGCCAGCCAAGAAACTTTCTATGTGTAGAAATACTTAAACAAATTTGCCTTCCAAGTCTTGGGATTGTCGTATTTCGTTATTATTATTATTACTTTTATTATTATTATTATAAGTGGTCTTGATTCTAAGCATGTAGCAGCTCTTCTAACCCTGAAACAGTAGGAAATAATGAATAAACAATGATGTGTTATTGCTTCTGCGACCAATGAGAAAACACCTTACGAGCAGCTCTTCAATTACAATTCTTAGGCGAGAACGACTACGAGTAAGAGAAATTCTGAATATTAAATAGCACACGACGGGAAAGTGTCATTCAACTACGAGTTTTAGGAAGCATGTCGAAACAGGTTATCAAATGTTATAGCGGAGCTCTCAAGCGCGCGAAAAGCACGCCATGGGGAAGTAAATCTTCTCATCACAGAAAATTTGGTAATCACGTGACCGTACACCGCCTCCGACCGTCCGTCCGCACCACAGGCATACCAATGTTTTTACTCTCGCACTTTCTAGCTACTTTGGGAGCCCAGGAGAACACTGATTGCACATCAATGTCGTGATCAATTGACTGCTTTTGGTTCTGACGCACACCCAGACTTCAGCAGAGTACATTCTAAGGAGCTGGAAGCAACTCGAGGCTATTAGCAATTCTCCTACGAACGGGACAATTTTGTTATTGTTTTTCGCAAAAATAGTGACAAAGCTGACAACAAAACAGGCAAAGTTTAGATAAACTAGAGATACTGTGTGGCAAGAAATTTTTAAATCAAGGAAAAGTACAATCTTCTATTGCTCAGCGACGACCAGTGCAGGGCTTCACAATGATCTTGGTAAGGCATTTCGCCCCTTCGCTGGCCTAAGGCCAATTCTGATGTCCTTTTCTGGACTTTTTCTAAATGGGCAATGTCTTGGACAAGAAACAGAGTCGATACTTGTGATGCATTCTCAAGTATTTGTCTAACGAGAGACATGTATAATGTAAAGAAAATGTTCTTTTCTGCAGAACCGACTGTATGCTTTATAAGACCAAGGACATTATTTGCTTTGTTAACCGCCTCAACTATGTGTGAAGTCTTTGAAAGGTTGCGCAAGTTTGTAGTGCTGAGGTCTTTTACAGAAGCCACTGAATTGTTCTCCATGAGGGACAAGTGTATAATTCCGGACAGATTTGTCTTGAACGTGTGTTACCCGCATAACTTCACATTTGCTCACATTGAAATCTAGTCACCAGGTATCAGACCTACCCTTGAGGCGGAACAAGTCAGACTGAAGGGCGTCCGTGTATTTAGTAATGTTGGAGATTTCTCTAGAAACTTTGTTGTCATCTGAATACAGTTTAACCGTGGACGAAATTTCGGATGAGAGTTCATTGACATATAACATAAATAAAACTGGTCCGAGAACTGTTCCCTGGTGTCCGCCAGATAAAACTGACGGGATGTTGTTCATCCCCATGAGTTTAGAGACTTTGAAATTTTCACGTGCTCAATCCTTGTGAGTTCAATGCACCAACTAGCCCAGTCTTCCTTTATTCCAGTTGGTACTGGGTCATCCCAGTCAATTTTCTGGTTGCAGAGCTCTTGAAACAGTACCTTTATTTGAAATGTAACTGGCGAGATAATTCCCATTGGATCAAATATCTTAGCCACAACCTTACAGATGCTTCATTTCGTTGGTGGTAACTTACAGGCCAACTGTGCTAAGGGTTTGAGTGGTAACATCAACCAGTCTTCAAAGTAGTTCCAGTTACCTCCAAGAACCTGTTTGCACTGATAATATGCTGCCTTTTCCATTCCAACTGTGGCTTTTACACAAGTTTCATCGTCATCTCGGAAACTGCTCTTTAACACTTGATGACTCGCAACATGCATTAGAAAAATGTCCGGCCAACCTCATGGTAAGCATGGAACAAACTGTTCATTCGCAAAGTATGCGATATAAAAGAATCTCGGCAGCTAAAGCAAAAGACGTGAATGTCTGAGAATGCGTTTATGATGAGAGTGGAATTAAAAAAAAGCCCAAAAATTTATCTAAAAATATAACCGGTTCGTGATGACGCCATGAAATACCCCTAGAAAGGGAGCTGCTTGCTTTGGTTTATTTGATTGAGTTTGAATGGTAACTTGATAATAAGAGTGAGGAGGAGAAAGAAGGTCGATGTTAACTAGGTTGATCGTGCTCACTTGGTTGACCCTGTTTACTAGGGTAATTTATGGGTTTAGTTTTAAGTAAGGGATTTTGTGTTAATCATGTGTTCTATTTCGTGACATTCTAGTTTTAGCTTTGTCTAAAATCCTGCAAGTGATACCTTACGTTATTGTAATATATTGCTGGTAATGGGTCACAAGTGACTATAGTTTGGTACTGAGACCCCTAAATTACTGTCCTCGACTTATTTCATTTATTTATCTATCCCATGTAAGATAAAAGGAATAAATAGCCGGCATGTCTTACCCGTTTCTAGTTGGATACCACTTGATGTCGTTGGTGGATCTTTCAGTTCACTTTCTTCGTCCCGTTCAACATACAGACTGATGATGGTGTCTAGAATGATTAGGGTTATTGGAATGCCTTTCAAGACAGTGATGGGGGTTGGTGACTAGAATAACATATTAAGCCACTTGTGGGATGTTTGACAAATCATTCCCAAGCACTGGATAACTAGTATTTCTTAATATTAACGGAGCCCTACTGCGCGGGAAGCGGGTACCATAGGCAATACATTTTTGTTATCTATGCAACTAAGGTATTTTACTGCGACCCAAATTTAATCGCCTACCTTCGCACTTTGTAATTGTATCGTCCCTATGAGCGTACGTTGATCCATACTTCATGTCTGGCGGATGTAAAATGTCATACTTGCAACCACAGAGTTTAAGGCATATGTTATGGCTTACTGACCAATTTAAAAATTGGGTATCCGCTGACCAGTGTCATAAATATGACTGTATCTAGGGCTCATGGCTTTCACTTGATTGCAGGCTCCAACAGCTGTAAAATTTGAGTGGTTCTAAAAAAACAGCATTGGACCAGAGGATACGCTTCAGGGTTATATGCTTCTGGCAGAGAAGAATAATTGCTGAGTTTTGATGAGTAAATACTTACGCAGTGCTTGTTTATTAAGTAACTTTAGCTAGTCATTTAATTGCAGGTCCATAAAAATGTCAGACAGAGCTGTAGTATTAAAGATTTATGAAAGCTAAGGCCATAAGAGTTAAATTTTTGGACAGTTTATATTTGATGCGGTCATTAAAAACACAGAAAACTGTTTGATTGTTAAAATGATTACCTTCATCGATTTTATCTAGCGTTGTTTGCCTCAGAATTTTTCTGGCCAATCCCCTTAGGTCTGTTTCTTTTACGCGAATTAAAACAATTTAATTACTGTGTCTACGACCGTTTTAACTGAGTCAGTATCCCCGGGCGCCACTAGGATAGGGTTTAATATGACAGCCCATGGTGAATACACAACAAATAGCTACAACCTAATCACTTGGACACGGCCACTTTTATTCACGAGCAGTAGCACAATATTTTCAATTACAGAATGACAATTAATCTTTGGGAAATCGCTGGCAAACAACTAAAGAAATACCGTGCGACACCACAGGGCCACACCTGCAAAGTCCTTTAAGCAGGATACACAAATCGGCTATATAAAGTTGAACTGAACATTGTGGTAATTTTACGTCTCACAAATTTTTACAAAACGAGAGACATGTTTTAAACACTGTTTAAGTTAAAACAAAACTATTTTTATGCAGGAATGAAATACTTTTCATACACGTCCCCAGGACATTTCTCTTAGAAAATGGCAGGGGCGGGAAAGCCCTGGAAACGAGGTTGACTCTGTGTAGAAAGTTCTTTCTTTTTTCCCATTGATAATGCTCTTCAAACAATCATCGGGAAACTATCATTTACAACTCACGGATTAACCTTTATGTATAGTATTTTAAATGTAAGAATTGATTAGGGCAAGATACACAGCTGGCAAAAAATAGAAATAAATAAACTATCTTTGCAAGCTCAAATAAACTGGAAACGAACATCAAAAAACATCGCAAGGTAAAATATTAAATAGAGAAATTAGAATATCTCTGTACGTTTAGAAATTTTTTGCATGAGACAAAAAAGAATGATACTTACTTGATGGAGCAAAATTTTTGACTTATTTCGAATGTCTTCCTGCCACAGAAGTTATTTTGCCAGTATGATCCAGAGTATGACCGGGGTATTGACAAGACCATAGGCTCCATTTCCACCGTCTCCCAGTCCCTTGGGGGCTCATTTTCCAGCACAGTGGCTTACAATTGAGCCTAACAAGACCTTGGCGCTCGCAAAAACCTGCCAAGTAGGTGTCTGTGCCTTGGGCAGATTGTCATTTTAGTGTTAGCCTGTGTACACACCACCCCCCACCCCCTTGGAGGGGGGCCCCTTCTCCGATTTTTCCTAAGGGGAGGGGCTCTGTACACAGGCTATTTAGTGTCTGTGCCTTGGGGAGATGTCATTTCAGTTCCGAATACCTACCAAACCTCGAATATGTACTCTAGTTAAAATAAGTTCATTCAGTCATCATTGACTTCGCTACACTTAGACAAGTGAGAGTTGGCTAAGTGTGACGTAATATCATTCATGCACTCTGCGACCAACACATTTCCCTCCACACCCCTACTGGGACCACACTGTCTTGACGATCTCGCGGAAAGAACAGCTTGATCATATGAAATACCCGAATAAGCCTTTTTTCACAATTGATCTCTTCGGCAATTTCATTGACATAATTATATTTGAAATTGGCACCTGTTACATTAAAATTCAATTAGATTGAAGCCAAAACAAGATCATTTTTGGAATATGGATGTTATACCCTTACTAAAACTAGAAACTGAGATAATCCCTTTTGCGTGTATTCACTGAAAAAAGAAACTTTTTCCCGTTTCATTCTTCTACCGATAAACCCTTTAAAGCTCTTTGAATGAAACTGAAATTTACAACTAATTTACCTTTTGCAAAGCTATACATGAATTTTCTCTTAAAAAAAAACTTTTCAAGATAGAAAAAGTGTGGGGCATTTTTTTTATCATAGTGCCATGTACAAAGATCTGATAAGCAAAAAAGAGTGCCCACAAATTTTATTGTGCTGACAAGAGGACTTACCTTGCAAGTTAAGTCTTATTTTTATTATTATCAATAACTATCAACTATCATTTAAAACAAGATGATGATATAATAGAATTAATCGATACAACGCTATTGTTTTCTAATCGACCGCCCTTCTTTAGCAATGTGTGACAGGCCACAGTAATCGAATTATTTTAAGCCACGCAAACATATATCATGATATATTATTCAGCTGCTTCTTCCTCGTTGAAAAAAAAAACAGACCTTAAGGGGATTTTAAGTGATGGTTTGTGTTTTTCTGTGGAAAGGAGAATTATTTTTCCCCATAGAAATGTGAAATGTAAGGATTATGTTTCAGGTCAAGTTTTTCAAACGACTCATCTAAGGCTAATTTGCATGTGGAGAATAAAGTCACGTTGATCGTCGACATGAAAAAAACCCAAGAAAAAGTGACTTCCAAGTTTTCTCCACATGTTTTCAAAAGTCCAACATTTAAAGGGTCTAATGACAGTTAGTGAGAACTAAAAACGTTAAAGCTGTGGAAATTAGTCGACCAGATGCGGACCATTACATTTCTAGCTTTGCTGTCAAAATGGCGAATTTTGGTACATTAACGGAACTTTGTACAGCACGCAAAGAAGAGTGCCCACAAATTTTATTGCATTAAGAAGTAGACTGGTCACAGTACTTCCATTTTATCATAGACTTGAGCCTGGGTCACGTGCCACTTTTGCGAAATTACCGTATCTAGGAAAGGCCAATGAATTATCTCAGATCTCCAGGCCTGAGACAGAGGAACCAGCCCATTGGACGAAGCTGTCGTGATTGCATGACTCATCTCCCTTATAAACAACTTCGCAGCTGGCACAGCCAACGACAAAGAAATACATTTACCCTGGAACCGTTGCAGACTCTTAACATCCACGCATTTCTTACAAGCCAGTATCTTTTCTTGCAAGAACGCCCAGGCTACAATCTTGCTCTGCAGTATGATGAAGGATTGCTTTTCAGAATCCACCAGAAAGCCCAAGTACTCTAAGGAAGTCGTGGGATACAGAACTGACTTGCTAATCCCAATCGTATACCCAAGCTCAATAAGCACTGAGTGGACAATAAATATGGCAGCCCTGGCAGCCTTAACTCCGAATTCTTTCTGCCTATCGTAATAGAGGATCGACCACGGCCCAGATTTCGTTAGCAGTTCCCCATTAAGGCGGTCATCAATGTAGAGCGAGCAAAGTATACCAGTATACCAAAGAAAACCAGATACTGCCAGACCTATTGTGTGGTAGACATACGGAGACATTTCAACCCGAAGGGAAGAGTAGTGCACACAAACCATAAGCCACCCATTCAAAACCAAAATACGCCTGCAAGCTCTGCGATAGCAAAATATGGTCGTACCCTGACTTGTCGCCACATTTGGTCGTAAACGAGCCTTTCTAAACGAATCTCAGAACATCAGAGAATCTATCCAGGGCAAGACCACATGTGGAGGAGCAGACACATCCACTTTCCCCCAGACTCTAACGGCCCCAGTGACTAGACGTTTCTTAATTTCGAAGATACAAACTCCAAGAACCTCTTGCAAGACGCATGATTTACAAAATGTCTCGCGAGCGGCCGATCCGAACAATAATGGACCCATTTATACAAGCCAGAGAATGGTTGACTGAAGTGCAAAATATCTATTCTATGGCGAATCCAACCGAGAATCTCCTGTGCTAACGGGTGATGGCTTAAGATCAATTCCCAAGCATTCGGATTGGTGTGGAGGCCACCAGCAACTCATCACGGTCCCTCAACCTTAACGTCCCTAACTGTGGCTCAACACCCGACATCAACACATCTTTCCAATACACCTTTAACTCTTGCTTTCCCTCCCAGTCGGAAAATCCATCTACACTAACCCAAGATTGGGATATGCTGGATTGCAAAGAGATGACCTGCTCGACAAACTCCTCAAACCCCTTCCCTATTTCTGCTTTTCACTCCATAAATTTGCAGTCTTATTTTCGTTAAGGGCGGGACCTAGGAGAAGGGAAACGGGAGAAATAATATGAGAACAGAAATACCCCAAATGAGAAAATATAAATGGAGTCCCCGACCAGGAGAGAACAACCTCAAATGACTGAAAACAGAACGTCCGCCGACTACTGATAAATGCAGAAGGCCGACGGGGGTTACTCACCCAGATCTGGGAAAATGTCTGATCCCTCCCTCAGGGCAACAGGGATTCTGGTAGCAATAATAGCACTGAACCGAAGAGCGATTTATGCGCCCAGCGCCCCTATGATAACTGAACCTGTGAGTGGCCGGTGGAGAAGAAATTCTCATCGCTTTATCTGCTGTAGCTATGGACTCCAACACTTTCACGTGATCTTTATCACCGAGCAACACCTCCAGGTACTTCTGCAACTGGTCATCCATCGCGCCGGTGTTTTCTCCCAAGGCCCGAAAGAATGCCTCAAAAAATCCAGTCTTTGGATGATTAGCCTCTTTAGCCACCATCTTAAAACTTCAATAGACGATCCAAAGCACGATCCTTCGTGAACATTGGCGACTTGACCAAGTGTCTGAATTCCTCCAAACTCGAGTCCACCGTAGCCTTTTAACCATCCTCGAGCCTTCGAAGGCGTGTCATTGCTGCGTTCATATTTTGAGCATCCTTAAACAGGGACAGCGTAAAAAACTGATGTCAAAAACAAAACAAAAACAAACCACATTGTCATGCCTTGACCGAGGCCTCTCACAATTTTGTCCGCAACAAGCCAGCAAGAAATTGACATAAGAACAAGTTGCAAAATCCAAACTAACATATGCAAGACAAATCATAGAATGAAAATAGTCTAAAACACGCTCGTTTGTTTGAGTCTCACCTCTTTCTACTTCTTTTAGTCAAAATTACTAAAAACCCGTAAACCATAAACAAGATATACTAAACATGATCCGAACGAAAACGACGCAAAACAGTGTCAACGTCAGACTGCAAAGTTATCTGAATTCACCCAAGGTATGCAGGACAAGCGTGAATCCGAGTCAGGAAGCCGGATTTCGACGAAGCTCTTTCCTTTAGCTCTTTTTCTTTTCCTTGATTTTCTTTTATTTCATTTTTTATTATTATTATTTGCAGGGCAAACTTCACAGTGTAATGGAGTTGGAAGACAAACAATTAAATGCGAAAACCACAGGAAGAAAAAAGTTAGATGTCAATGTAACACCAAATAGAAATTAGAACAAAACCGGAACAATACTAAGCTGTTGGGATTAATTCCACAAGGATGCGCTCCTCGCCAGACAGGCAAAAAGAAAACTCACAATTTTACCACCCCACAGGCATAAAAACTACAAAAAACGTGCCGCCACACAGGCGTAAAAAACATTCACTATTTACCGCCACACAGGCATAAAAAACTATAACTTACCGCCTCACAGGCAGAAACTCATCGCCACACAGGCGAAAACAAAACTCCTAATTTGACTGTCACACAGGCATAAACTTATTGCTACACAGGCGAAAAATAAAACTCACAACTTTACTGCCACACAGGCAAAAAGACTGCAAACTTACCGCCACACAGGCATAAACTTACCGCCCCACAGGCGTAAATAAAAAATTCACTATTCAACTACCACACAGGAATAAAACCACAAACTTTCCGCCTCACAGGCATAAACTTATCGCCACACCCGCGAAAATAAAACTCACAATTTTACAGCCACACAGGCAGAAAACTACAAACTTGCTGCCACACAGGCATAAACTTATCACCACACAGGCATAAATAAAACTCACTATTTAGCACCACACAGACATAAAAATACAGACGTGCTGCCACACAGGCGTAAATAAAAATAACAATTTGCCGCCACACAGGCATAAAACTACAATTTTGCTACGTCCCAAAGAAAAACGAAACCCGGCTAAATGAGGGAACTTAAATACACGAGCGAAAGATATAAAACACGATACCTTAAGAGCTGGAGCGTTAGCGTGGCCTCCGCCATCATTTGGAGCATTGACAACGTGTTTGACCAGAACTTGACCCTCGGCCTGTCCAGGCTGATTACCAGCCGCCTCCGCTACAGCCAAAGCAACCTGCTCTGCAGCAGATGGGCGAACAACGTGCTCGTTCGTGTTTGCCGCCATCTTTAGCGAGTAAGTCGGGTTCCACTACCTTTTACGCCAAACGCCCTTCTTGTCGGACACAGTGAAGTGAATGTGACAAAGCGTGCTAGTGTTTCGTATTATATATACTCATTTGCATATCATTAATTAATCCCCAGGGATGATATTTAAAATTCAGATGAAATGTGAATAGGAACTGCGTAAACGTTCACATACAAGCATGTTTCCAACGTCATTCCTTGCACACAAAGTTAAAGCAAATCACGTCATTGTATCTGGCTTGTTTCGGATCCAAATGCTTTTATCTTCAATGTCTCTTGATTGATACACTGCAGTTGGCAGCTGAAGATCATTTCTCATACATAGTACGGCTGGGCTAAATCCGTTTTCAAGTGTAAGAAGGTTTTTAGTTGTTTGCACCATAAGTCCCACTTCTCCATTGCTTTGGGGGTATTTTGAACTTCTTATAATGTGTGTGAATTCCCAGTCTTCTGCAAAGTAATTGAATTCTGCTGAGGAATAATGTGCGCCGTTATCGGAGATCACGGTTTCCGGAATTCCATGGTGCGCGAAAATCGCTTCTAGGTGATTGATCACTTCTTTAAAGGTGGATTTTCGAAGTACTACAATTTCACAATATCACAAAAAGTAATCAACCAAGAGGATGAATTCTTGTCTTTTTCATTTGAATAGATCAATTCCTACTTTTTGGAATGGACGCTAGGGTAACTGCGAAGAAATCAGGGGCTCTGCACGATTAGCTTTCGTCTTAATGCAAGTAGGGCATTCCCTGACAAGGTCTTCTATCTGCTTGCTGATGTTCGGCCACCATACACCACTTTTTGCTGTTTCACGGCATTTCTGGATACCTTGGTGACCTGTGTGTATCATGCCTGATACATCAAGCCTTAAAGCTAAGGGGATGATGGCTCTGTCGTCTTTCATTAAGGCCGATTTAGACGGCACGATTTTTGCTTATAACTATCGTGCGCAATTAGCATACATCATGACTTTTGACCATCCACAAGCACACGATTTTCACTTACGACATCCTAACAAAATATCGCAAGCAATGTTGCGAAAATGGCGGACATCACGATCGTGTCGGCCATGGCTGTTGGCGTTTTATGTAAAAAAAGACGGAAGAAACAAAGGTAAAGGGAAGTTTGGGAACGGGATTGGCTACAAAGAAGATGGGAAAAATGTGCATTTAGACACTTGATGGCGGAGTTGAGGCTAGAGGATGAAGAGAGTTACAGAAAGTATATGCGGATGGACACTGTGTCATTTGCGGTAAAAAAATTTTCCATATTGTTATGACTTCAACAATTCTTGGGCGAGAACTGATACTTGATTTAAAATATATTAAATGACGTCCACGAGTGTGCAATTAAATCAGCTCACAACAAACTAGCAGAAAGTAGTGTATCCGTCTGAAGCACACGATTTCAAGCACGGAAATGATCCATTCTCAAATTATATATAGGTAGTTAGCAGTTCAGGGGACTACCATCTTATCAAAAGTTATCACGCTGTTGCTCGATAGAGTTCAAATTAAACCTTTAAATTTTCCTATCAAACTTACAATTCCTTTGAACACAACATGAAACGCAATGACCATCAGGGTTTGGTACGCTAAGTGCGAAAGCTCGCACACATTCGTTTACAAAAGTGTTCTTTTCAAGCTCACCCCTCAACCCAGAAATATCGGTCTTCCCTGACTGTATTATTTAAGGTTCTACATTGTACTAACTCACTATGAAGTAAGCTAAACACAAAAAGGTCATCGTTAGTGATTTGTGATTGGTGCATTTCTATCCGTTTTACAACTTTCTGTGTTTCAAGGTTCGTTGCTTGGTGATAAACGGCAGCGAAAAACATAATTGTGAAGACAGCTTTTTAGCTTCAGAGGTTTGCGTGAACAGAGTACATACCGCAATGGTTTACCCAACAAAACCATCAACGTGACAACACAGTGTTTGAATCATAAATGTTATCTCCACTTTACCCACAAACGTGCCTTTTACACTCGCGAGCAAACACGCACGTAAAAGCTTCTTTAGTACCGACCAAGCATAAGCCAATTTCTTTTATTTAATTCAGCAGTCCCTAAATGTATTTGTTCTCTTTCTTTTAATCTAACTAGGCTGCAAGTCACAAAATGTTTGCGCAACATATCCTTACGCTCTTGACATCTCAGAACAATTTTTGATAGATTTCAACCCAGACTTCAGACTTCCGAAATTCAATGACGTATTAGAAATTACTGAAAGTTCAGATTAACTTTTGAGATCCTAAAACTGCCATAAAGTGCCGTTCTTGAGAACAGTGACAACAGTGATAACGCTCAAAAGTGACAACGGTGACACACTGACAACAGTGAAAACGCTGATAAGTGACAACGGTGACAACAGTGACAACACTTACAACAGTAACGATGGTGACAACAGCAACAATGGTGACCACAGCGAAACCAGTGACAACAGTAAAATTGACGACAGCAGCAACAATGCTGACAACAGTGACAACAGTGAAAATGGTGACAATGGTGACAACAGCAACAATAGTGACAACAGTGACAACAGCAACAACACTGACAACCGTAACAACAGCGACAACGGTCACAACAGCAACAACAGTAACAACAGTGGCAACACTGACAACAGCGACAATGGTGATAACAGTGACAACCGTGACAACAGCGACAACAGTGACAACAGCAACACGGGTGCTAACAGCAACAATAGTAACAACAGTAACAACAGCAACAACGGTGAAAACAATCATAACCGTGAAAACAGTGAAAAGAGTGACAACGGTGACAACAGTGACAAAGGCGACAACACGGACAACGGTGAAAACAGTGACAATGGTGACAACAGTGACATCAGGGACAACAGCGACAACGGTGACCGGTGACAACAGTGACAACGCTGACAACAGCCACAACGGTGACAACAGTGACAATAGTGACAACAGCGAAAAAAGTGACAACCGCGACAACGGTGACAACAGTGACAACTGTGACAACAGCGACAATGGCAACAACAGCAACAATAGTGGAAACAGTGACAACAGCGACAACTGTGAGAACAGCAAAAATGGTGACAACAGTGACAACAGTCATAACAGTAACAACAGCAACAACAGTCACAAAAATGACAACAGCGACAACAGTCACAAAAGTGAAAAACAGCAACAACAGTCACAACAGCGACAACAGTCACAACAGTGACAAGGGTGACAACAGCGACAACAGTGACAACAGTCACAACAGTAACAAAAGCGACAAAAGTGACAACAGCGACAACAGTCACAACAGTGACAACAACGAAAACAGTGACAACAGCGACAACAGTGACAATGGTGACAACAGCAACAACTGTGACAACAGGGAGAACAGTGAGAAAAGCGACAATGGTAACAACGGTGACAACAGCAACAACAGTGATAACAGCGACACAGGTGCAACAGCAAGAATAGTAACAACAGTGACAACAGCAAAATCGGTGAAAACAATGACAACCGTGACAACAGTGAAAAGAGTGAGAACAGTGACAACAGCCACAACGGTTTTGACAGCGACAACGGTGAAAACAAAGACAACGGTGACAACAGTTACAACACTGACATCTGGGACAACAGTTACAACGGTGACCACAGTGACGACAGTGACAACATTGACAACAGTGACAACGGTGACAACAATAACAACGGTAAGAACAGCGGCAACGGTGACAACAGGGACGACAGTGACAACAGTGACAACGGTGACAACATTGAAGACGGTGATACCGGTGACAACAGTGAAAATGGTGACACGGTAAAAAACGTGACAACACTGAACACAGCGACATCAGTGACAACGGTGACAACAGTGACAACGGTAACAAAAGCAACAACAGTGACAATATTGACAACACTAAGAACAGCAACAACAGTGACAACAGTGAGAACAGCAAAAACTGGGACAACAGCAACAACAGTGACAACAGTAACAACTGTGACAACAGCGATAACAGCGATAACAGTGACAACTGTGACAATGGTGACAACAGCGACAATGGTGAAAACAGTGAAAACTGTGACAATGGTGACAATAGTGAGAACAGTGACAACAGTGACAACAGCAGCAACTGTGACAACGGTGACAACAGCAACTAAGGTGACAACAGTAACAACGGTGACAACAGCAACAACAGTAATAATGGCAACAACAGCGACAACGGTGACAACAGCAGCAATAGTGACAAAAGCGACAACAGTGACAACAGCGTCAACGGTGACAATAGCAGCAACAGTGACAACAGAGACAATGCTGATAACACCAACAACACTGACAACCATGACAACAGCGACTACAGTGACAACGGTGACAACCGCAAATATAACGACAACAGTGACAACAGCGACAACGGTGACAATAGCAACAACAGTGACAAAAACAATGGTGATAACACCAACAACACTGACAACCATGACAACAGCGACTACAGTGACAACGGTGACAACCGGAACAATAGCGACAATGGTGACAACAGTGGCAACGGTGACAATGGTGACGACGGTGAAAAGAGTGACAACAGCGACAACAGTGACAACAATAACAACAGTGACAACAGTGACGACGGTGACAACGGCGACAATGGTGACAACACTGACAACAGCGACAACAGTGACGACGGTGACAACTGTGACAACGGTTAAAACGGTGACACCTTTGACAACAGTGAAAATGGTGACAACAGAGACGACGGTGACAACGGTGACAACAGTGACAACAGCGACAACAGCGACAAGGGTGACAACAGTGACAACGGTGACAACGGTGACAATGGTGACGACAGAAACAACAGTGACAACGGTGACAACAGTGACAACAGCGACAATGGTGACAACGGTACAACACTGAAAACGTTGACAACAAGTAGGACGGTGTGACAATAGTGACAACAGTGACAACTGTGACAGCTGTGACAATAGTGACAACAGTGACAACTGTGA